AAAGAATTACATTTCATAATGGCAAGTTCTATAATTTTTCTATCTTTCTAAAACTTTTCGAGGAACTTATTCTGTAAGTATTGTATTTAATATTTAAATAAACTAAAATAAACAATACAAAAAAATAAATTAAAATTAAAACTAAAATTTTATTATTAATTTAAAAAATATTATTGAATACAATTTATCTAGTAGACAAAAGTTAGAAAAGACGGCAAGAGGCAAATCTTCACTAGAGCCAGGATGACAACAAAGTTAACCATAGGCACCAGTAAGGGTTGCTAATAACTGCTTAAGGATATTCACTTTATCCTTAGGCTGGCCGTCTCAACATTAAGTTGGGTTGTCTGATATTCAATTTGTTCTCGTATAATTGTTTAGACGACTGAAAATTATTGGCTTGATCTTGATTGCAAGGAAGCAACGGTCAATACACTACACCCCGTCCCCCCTCACACACACACATATCTTCGATCATAGTATTAGTAAACCTGATTTCTATTGAGTCTATCGATAGATCTACCCTCCAACTACAAATCTGAATAGAGTTTTGGATAGATTAAAGGAACGTCTCTGTATCTCTCATACAATCGGGTGTTATATATTTCCTAAAAAAGGCGGCAAATTAAAAATAATAATAATTTAAGAAAAAAAATATTGAAATCCAACATGGCATAAACTTCTGAGCTCGGCTATCCACGAGCTGTTACACCCTTTTTTGACAATCCTCATTTCTTACACGAGTTTCAACAAAAAGCTTATTCAATCTTGGATTGCGTCTGTACAGTATAACCTGTAAAAAAAAGCTATTGTTAGTTAAACATTTTCATATGATACAATAATTTTCTAAAAATAAATTATCTTAGAAAATAGAATATTACCATTTATTTTTCATGTGAAACAAATGGAATTAATTTTTCGATATACATGATAATAGAATCATGAATCTTATTGATTCGATTCTCCGCACCAGATTGCGATCACCACAAAAAACGCTCAGCATCACGTGCTAAATATAAATTGATTATAGAATGACCTTTATACATAATGCTATACTTATTTTAACATGCATTTCTAGGTGGTAAAAAAATTTCAAACATCATAATACACCAAAGATTCTTGCATATTAAACATACCCTTTAAAAATAAGCTTACAAATCATATATATATATATATAAAAACATGCATTGCATAATGGATTTTGACATTAATACCACATGAAACATACCTTTTAATGTGGTTGGGGACGATTAGAAATTATTAGAGCATATAGATCATGAGCTATTATGGGTGCCTTAAAAGTTCAACTTGTCAAAGAAATTGGTCAAAATAAAATCAAATTATACCATCTATTGAACAATTAGTATGATTAAAAAAATCTTTAGAACAATAATACATCTAACTCTTCGTTAAAAAAAATAGCATAATACATTTGATTTATTCATAAAAAGTTAAACCACACATGGCAATTAAAGAAAAATAATTATGGCAAATGAATTCAAAATCAAACATCTAGAAGAAGTAACTCAAACTCCAATTTAAATCACACAGATATATACATATACGTAAAAAAAATTAATAACATAAAAAAATCACCTTGAAACACTATAATTGTAATCAACCCAACAATTAACATTAATCTTGTACAACAAACAAAATAACAATAAAAAAAAACTACTAAATAGAAGCAATATACATACCTGAAAAAAAAGTTATAATCTTGAAAGGAGAGGATAAGAAAAGGAGTGAGGATAACGAAATGAAAAGGAAAGAAAGGGAGAGGGGCTAATAGAGGAGAGTACTCTAAAGAGAGGGAGCAATGACGATGAATCAAGAGATTAGTATAGGAGAGAGGAAGATGGAATTTTTTTAAGGAATTTAGGATCTAGTTGTTTTATTACAGTGTTTTTTTATAAATAGATTAACTGATGAATAATTAAATATTCATTAATTTTTAAAGACCATTGGTAATTAACACTAAAATTTTATTTTTCAAAACCCCTAAGTTTTTTTGATAAAATTTTGTTTTATTAGTAATTATATCTATAATTTTTAGTAGTAAAGACATGTAATTTTATTCCAACTCTCTGGAACTCTTTGAGGGAATTAGTTCATTGATAATTTTGTCTATAGTTTTTAGTGGCAAAGTCATGTTATGTTTTTCACCTCTTTAGAACTCTCCAAAAAAATTAGTTGGTCGATAATTTTGTCAATGATATTTAGTGGCAAAGTTAAGTAGTTTTTTTAACACTTTAAAACTCTTTAAGAGAATTAATTTGTCACTAATTTTGTTGGTATTTGACATTTCATTATCATAAAACAATATCTTTTTTTGTAATTTTTTTATATTTCGTATCTATCCAACTTGTAAATACAGTAAAATCATAACACAGTAATAACAATTATCTTCAATAATATGATAATAAAATCATAACAATAAACGTTATAATTATATTAACAATAGATCTTTGTAAAGAAACAACATATAAAAAATTATATTAAAGTCAATGTTATTATGCATTGATGCTTTATATATAAAATTAGTTCAAGATCTTTGTAATCAAAATTGTCTTTTTCTTCAATTTTATCATTGTCATGTCTATCATAAGCTTCTTCATTAAATTGAAACCCATTGATTTTATAATCTTCATCAACTTTTGTACCCCAATTAATTCTTAATATATCAATTAAGTTCTCAGCATCAACATTAACAAAAATATTCTCAAATATATAAAAATATAAATTTTCTTCTACATGGTAAATTGAGCAACTCGATATGAATCAACTAACTCATCAAGTTGAAATATATCGTCTTGTGCAATTACTTTATTGTTATCATCCTCAACAACTTGGACATGACCTAGGGGTTGGTTTTCACAATAGATAACCAATCAACCCTATAACAATTGTTTCTAAAGAAAGGAGTATATGCGTAACAAACTTGTTGGAATTGCTTGGCAAAAAAAAAGACATTAGCGATGTTATGAAGTCTAGTTTTTGTATTAATTTCAACAAAATCATGGGGGAAATCTACTCTGATTTTTCTATCGATAGTATTATACCAATAAAATTTGAATAGAAATACTTTGTTATATTCGTTATGATATTGCAATTCGTTCACCTCTTTTAGCTTACAATAATAATCAACTTTAAACTCATTAGAAATTGATCTCTTAACGTAAATTCTATTATTATAGATTTTTATATCCTGATTATACTCTTCGATATAAAAGACATATTCATTGATGAAATATATATTATAAAACTTGACCTTTCTTCCGGGACCAAAACATAGTAAATTCAATCTACAACTAGCATTCTTTTATATTTGATAAACTTGATACAAGATTACAACTATTAATATTTAAAGAGAAAAATATAATGGAATTAAACAGTATGAGAATTAAAAATTATTAAGTCTGCTTATATATGTTTAAGTTAAGAATTTACATTCGGGACTTTTAATTAAAGTTAGGCTTGCCCACATGATATGTTTTTATTTTTTAATTAATTTAAATATATATATTTTAATAAATAAATAATTTAAATATAATTACTTATATATATATATATTAATAAATAAATAATTTAAATATAATTATAAAAATATAATAATTCTAACCCAAGGAAGTTAACCTTAAACATAACATGGTGGTCAGTTTCTAGTACCCTGACAAGCATTGACTAGAGTTTAAGTGCAGGTGTCACCCCACGTGCGTCTAAGGCGGGCCCGGATCTTATCAGGGGTTTTGGTAACAAAAGGCCTGGCTATGGTTACGAGGTAGGGCTCTGATTTGTCTGTGATGTAACGAAATGACCCTTCCTGTTCACGTCAATTTTTCTCCCGATTCAATCCAGCCGTTGATCAGTATAGCAAAGGAAGTCATCTTTCAAGATCAGTGATGGTAGTGTTGTAAAATTAGCTGTTTTTACAGGCAATTGTATGAATATAAGCTGGGAAACCACCCTGTGGTTTTTGCACATTACAATATTAGCGTGTTCGAGATTTTTGTAAAAATATATTTTTTAAAATTTTTTATTTTTAAAAATTAATTTTTTATATCATAACATTAAAAACACTAAAAACATCATTATAACACAGCGGCCATAAATTAGATAATACAAACAACCTGTTGTTTGTTTTTCTTTTTAAAAAATAATTGCGTAGATAAGCTGCAAAAATATAAATAAAGAGCTCAGGTGGGCCATATTAAATAAGTCAGATGGATGGGTTGTGCTGGCTTGAAAGGCCTAGCACCACCTGACATTTTAGTTTATTTAAAAATATATATATATTTTTTTATTGTTTTTTTAAATTAACATCTCTTTTTATATGTTTTTTTTATAATTTTTTTATTTATATGCAGATGAATACCCTTTTCTTTTAAATAACATTATTTTTTATTATTTGTATGTTTTTAATTTTTAAAAAGGTTTTTCTATTTTTTCTATTATTTATAATTTTTATTTTTGTATAGATAAAATTTGTATTTAAAATAAAAATATTTATTTTCAACTAATATTTTATATATATGCAATTATGCATAATATTTTTTTATTTTATTCACTCAATTTAATACATATTTATTTTTATTATTATTTAATTGAATAAAAAAAATTTCATAAGAAAATTTGACGGGCAGAATTGAATAAATATAACATCTTATGAGATTAAATATCTTAATTTATATCTATTTTTTTATTTTTTATTTTATTATTAGTTATGGTTTATAATTTTTTTATTTATTAATACATATAATTCTCAATTTATTTAATTATATATATATAAACTTTTTAATTTTCACTTATAATTTTTTTAACTATAAAAACACACACACACACACACAAATTGATCCATACCAAATCAGAAGTCAAGTATCTAGTATATTGGGTAAGGTGCAGAAGCGATCAACTTCCCATATGTTTATTTTTTATGGGTCAAGTATCTAGTATATTGGGTAAGGTGTCAACTTCCCATATGTTTATTTTTTATAGGACAACTCCACCTATGACGGCTTTTTAAATACTATTTTAAAATAATAAAAATGAAATATATATGTTGAACAAGGGCATAAACAATTCTTCCAGATGAAAGGGCAGTCTGTCTAGAAGATCTGCAAGGCGCGTCTCTGTTATCTGAACTGCTGAGCTTGAGTCAATGCCTGAAGCCAAACGACTGAGCTTGACATCTGCGCTTGGTTGATTGCCATGCTTCTCATTGGCAAACTGCTCTGTTCCACCAAAGGAGTCCAGAATTGGCGTAGCCTAGCCTGATTCTATACACTAAACATGAAAAATAAGAACTCAAATCACAAACGACCTTAACAGCACATCCACAAGTTCATATATATATATATATATGAGGAGCGGATAGAAAGTTTATGGCTAATGCAATTGTTATCAATAGCAAAGTAATTATTTTGAGGGCTCCTGAAGGAGGCAGCTGACGATTTTTAACAGTAGAATTGATACGAAAAGCAGAGCATCAGTGTTCTCAAAATAATAGTATTACCATGAAAAGCATCATGATTTTTAAAATAAACATTCACGAACAAAGTGATGCTTAGGATTCTATTGAGTTTCATAGGCATCCCTTGTTATTCAGCTACGACTAACCTTTTTGTGGTGTTACATTACGCATGGTGCTTTCTAAATCTTCCATGAATCTGCAGCAAATATTAAACAAAAACAGCAAGTACAAAATAAACTCTGATGAACACCAGCTACGAAGTGTCATGCTTTGTCTAGGTAAACTCTGGTGTTACATTACGTGTGGTGCTTTCTAAATCTTCCACGTATCTGCAGAAAATAAAACAAAAACGGCAAGTACAAAACTCTTGATGAACACCAACGACGAAATGCCATGCTTTGCTTTGTCTAGGTAAACTTGGGGGGGTACCATTTCAAGTGTTGTTTTGTGTATGCTATTCTCTTACCTTTTTTATCTATTCTACAATGCTCCTTAGGCACTCAGTACATTGGAAATTTTGAATTTCAAACCACTCTAGCCCGCCATGGTAGAAAGATATCTCAGAGAACTAAATCAAGGGTTAGCAGTTTTTTATTATATATACAGAAAACAGAACTGTTGTAAAAGAAACAAGCAGAAAAATTTTCATGGCATGCCCTTTTTGTAGATTCTGTGAAGTTGCTGAAGGCAGAAGCAACACGCTTGAGGAATACATCTTGACCACTTCGATACTCACCATCTTTCTGTTACAAACAAGTTCAGGTACGAGATAAAAGAATGAATGAAATGACAATTCAGAATGTCCTAAAGATTTAAAGGATAAAGACCAACATAGAACCCACACTTGAAGAAGATAGACAGAGATTGGAAGTAATCTCTTCAAGACACACAAAAGCCTACAACCTTACTGCATCGAAGGAGGATGGATATTAGTTTTGAAATAAAAAGTCAACTGTACCAGAAGACGTGTCCAAATTTTACAACTTACATGCTGAAGCAAACAAAAAACAGGACTGCTGCTTTCATAGTCCAAAATTTATGTACACAAAAATCATACTTTACAGAATGATCAAATATATTGATTGAAAGTTAGGAGAATGAATCCAACTAAAACTAATTACATGAGCAAGATTCTATACCGCTATTGCATAATTCCATTCAGTTGACGCAGGGAAAGAGAAAGAGCATACATTATAGTGCTCAGACTTCTCTGAAGCGTCTGAAAAGATAGCATGATAGGACAAAGATTAATTACAATAAGACAAACAGCCAGAATTTTCTGAAAAGCTCATCATTCTCCCCATGTTTAAGAAAATGGGACAGCTATATCATTAAGAATATGATATAACATTCATCATTTCTCTTGCAAAATATCATTCAGATTTCATTTTTCATAAACAAACTAGTAACTTTAAAGTATATTTTCTTATAACTTCCCTTCTAGATTTCTTCTTGAGTGGGACAATAACTATACAATCCCTAAAAATTTTAGCAAACATATAGTAACCTTCTTTCCAAAATTATGTTTCTAAAATTATGAGATAATCACTGACATTATCATGAGATACATTTTGCATTAATATCTTAAATTGAAACATGTTGAATTGATTCTCATTCATTCTAGGAATGCCAGATTTTCAGTTAAAACTTTTGTTCAAAGCTTGAAAGCACCAAGTGGATAGATTCTCCCTGTTAAGAGACATGCTTCTTCAGAAGCTGGCTTTTGCTTGGACATGGTCTGTGATGAAACCCCAGTGTATTTACTCCAAATTTTTGTTGCAAGGCTTAAAGATGTAGATGCAAGGAGAAAGAAAAGTTGCAAGAAGCTGGTTCACTATAGACAGGATGCACTTGAAAGCAGCAAAAGAAAATAATTTGGAATTAATCCCAAAAGTTGTCATATAAATCATTTATAAAGATACATTCCATGTGATCCCACCTGGGTAAAGAGCAAGCAATCTCAAGGATACCTAGAGTAGTTAGTTCCATCATGGATATCTTCAACTCCACATGCATTCGCAATTTCTTCACCTGTAATTTGAGGACAGTTGATCCCCCCAGCAACAAAACAGAATTCTGCCATTGCATGATGATATAGTGCACCCCCATAAAAGCGCATCCCTGCATTCTACATATAAATTGCAAAATTGTCAACCTTTCATTGAGATTACCGAACTGTTCAACATTTAATATCAGTTGGGTATGGCAATTGGCTCATGTTTTTTTATCTGTGTCCTAATACTAATCATTAAAAAAGAATCCCCTCGTATCATGCATATGAAACACAACTTACAGACAAGAAATCATTAAGACAAATATGGAACACAACTTACACACAAGAAATTATTAAGACACTTAATGACTTAAAAGAGGAAAGGAAAAACATCCAGCATCAAGCCTGTAAATCTAGGATCTACACATAATGCAACACGTGCGGAAGGCAACAAGAATAAGGAAAAATACAGAAGTAAAGAATACAGTATTCTCACAAACTGAAACCAAACCTGCTTAAACTCATCATTGGAGCTATAAACTGAATCATGGGCAGAACCAACTCTTCCAGAAGGAAGAGTTGTAAAGAAGGGAGACCCGCCCACCGGCCACCATGAAATCATCAGGTGTATTAACTGGCAGTGAAAGGAATACTTCAACGTCAGATGAGCGAGCAAACTAGGGTATTCTCGTGTCAATTGAGCCAACAACAGTCTTTGAGAGCTCAGGATCAATCTGTTAGCAATCAAAAAGGTATTGATGTTTTACAGATTGCAGTAAAGATTTAAAAGCAAGCAGTCATTCCCAGGACAGACTTCCAATCACTATGAATCAAATAACTTGAAACTTCACTCCAGCTTGTAAGGATAATTAAAGCAAAAATATTTGTTCCCAAGTATAGAAATTTATCAAACACCTGGAGCATCAAACAAAAATAAAGTAGCTTTGATGCTATCCAAAGCTTCTCCTAAAATTTACCCCAACTGCAATCTCAAGTAAGATCATTTCTCTCCTACTGTTCCCACAAAAAGAAGCACTATAGTTCCTTAAGTGCAACAAAAACACTAACACACTCAAGTACAAAAACTTGCATCACAAGTCTCCGAGTAGTTTCATTACTCCGGTCACTACAATCTTCAAGACGCTATATGATAAATTCTTTACGCTGCATTTTTGCTAGCACAAGCGCCTCCACTGCCTGAGCTTGACTCTGAATAAACAAATAAACATGCACACATCTCATCATCAGAATCCCACATCACAATATCAAAGCCAAGTTGTTAAACTCCCTTTTCAAACCTGTAATGCATGATTTTTCGACCTGGTGCAGCAGCAATAGGTCGGGGAGCATCAACAATAGTGAGATTAGGTAATGCTTGTATTCCACTCTTATGATTAATTCCTTGGATGAAAATTGAAACGACTCCTTCTCCAACCTCATATTTTCATATTCAATGCATGCCTAGACAAATTTATCAATCCTACCTTGATAAGAAAATTCCAAAAAAAAATAAAATCGAAGTTAAAGGTAAAACCTGAATTTCATGGAGAGATTTCTCCTGGGAAAAAGAAGCGTCATCATCAGAGACAAGATAGCAAGAAGGGACCTCGCATTCAGGATCATATTTCATATGGAGAATAATGGGGCGACGAGATTTGGTGCCACCGCCAACTCATGAGACCTTCCACCAGTGCGTGACCTCTTTCCATCGGTCTGCTGGCCAACCAGTAACACCGCCGGTGGGTCAAATGGAGTCTTCAGCTCCGGTGCTAGCCCTTGTAGCTCATTATAAGCTTCGCACAGTCTCCATTTATTGTTTTTTCCAAACTGAAACTGAAGATTTTGGCTAACTGACTGTTTTCGCTCCTCTATCCACTTTTTTCGGGGCTTTGGGTTTTTGTCAACGGTTCGGTGGCTTCAGTTCACTGTTTTGTCTCGTTGAGTTAATTATAAATTAGTATCTCTAGTTTATCGAAACATATTAATTGGTCCCTATATTATAAGAATTAATTAAATAGTCCCTTTAGTTTTCTACCCTTTAATAACGTAGTGGGAAATGTTATTTGGACATCATTCCTTATTAGGAAGATTTCAAAAGTCCATTTTGTAATCCTCGGACTTAGGGAAAAAAAATGTCCATAGGGCCAAGACCATTTTCTTCAACATCTTGGAATCGATTTCATGAGTGGCTTTTTTGCCTTATAATTTATTTTTTAAAGTGTTTTTAAAATTAATTTTTACAAAGAAAAACATTAAATTTATTTTTTATATGTTTTTGAATGATTTTGATGTGTTAATGTTAAAAATAAAAAATTAAAAGAATATTACTTTAATATATTTTTATTTAAAAAACATTTTTAAAAATACCTTACAACAAAATAGTAAACACGCAATGTAAGAGCTTTTTTAAAGATTCATTTTCTATTCAAAGGAGAGGCTTGAGCTTGACTGAAAAAGAAAGTTTTATCAACTAAAGGATTTTCCTTGTAATCTCTTACTTCATGGAGTTGTTGTTTCGAAAGAAAAACCAAACTATTCGAATTTATCAATAAATTTTCTTATGTGAATCTTATAATTTTCTTTTATAATGATCATAGTATTTTTTTAATATTAGTTTTTAAGCAATAAGATTAAAATATTTTTCAGATTGATCTATAAACAGATCATTTATCCTTAAATTATTGTATCTATATTAAATTTATTTTTCAAAATATTTTTTAATACTCAGTTTGAGATCATTTGCGAGTACAAACCCATTAATGCAGTGTTAGTTTTCTTACAAAAATCGTATATTTGTTCAAACTCTTATGTATATGTTTGCGTGTGTAACAAGAAAGTTTGAAAATGTCGCAAGTCGGAACACCATGGGGAACGGTGGGATTGATGACCTGCCTCCGTCCAGAAGGACCCACACCGGTAGCAGTTTTTTCTTGCACACGCACAGCTAGCCTGGCATGGCATGGCAGCGGTTGGCATCTCAATTCTCATTTCAACAAACGTGTTAGGTGATCTTCATTACAGTTTCCCCATAATGTACATGAGACTATATGCCTAATTATCACCCAATCTGTCCTTGATGTTACCAGCCTACCGCAAACCAGATGATTGCTGATCTTCTGCTAATGATGTTGTATTAACAGCTTAACCCACCCACCCGAACCACCCAGGACTGACGAAAAGAGTCAACGACAACAGTGGCTCTGGCAGCAACAGACCAGTCAGGCAGAGTACACCAAGGGTGTGAGGCTGTCATGTCCTTCAGTTTCTGAAACAGTCTTGGCATGGTAAAGGGAGACGGAGCTCTCACATAATTCTGCCTCGAACAGCGATGCCAGGACATAAGTGGTAGTGACTGTCTAGGAGGTCCACCCAATAAAAACAAAAGAAAACGATGGCAAGAATATGGTGCAAAAACTTTAGCTTTGTACCCCAGCAACGCAAAAAGAGACGCGGGACATGGGTGTCGAGAACTCCTAGCGAGGAATCTGTGGACACAGTTTCATGTAAAGTTGCGATCAACGAGCCCCCCCACACTCGCTTAAAGAAGACAATAAAGTTCTTTTCAGTGGGATCCATGCCCCCAGCAAACATAAATTGACCACCACTAGAAACCGACTTGCCATTAATCATAAAATATGCTAGGGTTGATATCAAACCTTTAATTTCAACCAAACAGTAGATTCATGATCTACGCACCACCACTCCACGGATCTCTTGGCTCTCATGTTACCAGTAGAAACCATGGCCTCGAATCTTGATGGCGGTGGTCCATGCGGCCACCGACTTCCAGGTAAACCACCACAGAATATGAGTGCTTCATCATGACAAGGAATATGAAATTGCAGGCAAGGTTTATAGAAACATGGAATCTGATACCAATCTCTTGATACCAGCAAGGTGAAGTCATTTCAGGACCATGGATTCTTGGTTCCTAGCTCAACGCTAACAGATCCTGAACAGCTGGAATTTTTAACTTTAGATTGACTAAGTCATTTTTTCTCGGATAACTACTGACATTTGACTCGAATTTGTATAAGTATGGGAACCTTAATAGGAAAAGCAAATAAATTATCAAATGCATATAATATTTTTGGTTAGCTAACTTGTCAACGTTCAACCTTTCAATTTGCATTGAATTATACTCCATCCAAAATGACGTGGAATATCGGGGGTAACGTGTCCAAGCTTGGATTCAATTTTATCAAGCCACGCTGTCAAAGACACAGAATCCTCTCAAAATTTAACAGTTAATTAAGGATTGGCCTCCTGACACAGACCATTAACCTCGCTAAACATCCAAATCCAAGGAAGAATTAGAATTCAAGGCACTCTATCTAAAATGCATGACTTGATTAATTGTCGTATTAAGCAGGTCATTATCTACCTACTAGATATTAACAAAGTACTGCTTCCTAGTAGATATAGTTCTCCAAGTTAATAACAACGATAGATTTCTGCAAAATGTTACCATTACGGGATGTATCGATATTAAGATGATGGAAATGCTACAGTCATCTCCCGAGCTAAAACGACGGCAGTGGGTCAAGTAATCAAAGTCATACCAGCTTACAGAAAATACAGACCAATCATCTGGTGGGGGAAAACCTCTCCTCACCAAATTTGGTGGAGCAACTATTCTTCCAGAATAAACATCGATCATTTTCCCAGCTCTTAAAGGTTACAACGGAGAAAGGGGACAAGCACTGCTAGGAACTTAGGAACTAAAGTTTTAATCTTCGATCACAATGCATATAGAATAAACAACAGGTAACGCGGAAGCCTCCATGCCAAATAGCTAGCTGGTAACGATGCAGATACATGGTTCATCACGACCAGCAATAAAAAAGAACAGTTTTAAGTTTTTACAATCAATAGCAAGAAGCAGCGGTTTAGATTGTGTTAAAAGTAGTTTTCTGCTGTTTCAAACCAATGATATGAAGTAAAGAAATAAAGAATAAAAACGTCAGAAAATTCTAATATTACAAAGCACAAAGAGACATCGCAGTTCCAATTACAGGTCTCCCAAACATCAAAATTCCCCAGCATCATTAATCTCTTGAGCTCGGCGTCCCCCTCTCCCAGTCACTCCCATTTTGCGCACAGATTGCAGGAACAACATGACATCATGCATTTTTAACAGAAACAAAACACTAAAACGATAGACGTGAACATGAACAAAATCTGCAGATAAATGACATTCAAATCAGTAAGGAGTGTAGTAATACCCGGCCGGTGGTGGCCCCGTTCCATTGACAGGTGGCATTCCATAAGGCATCGTTGGCATAGGACCTGCATTGTAGTAACCACCACCGCTGATCTTGGCCAAACTAGCTTGACCTTGCATCCCATCCCTGGCATATTGCTGCCATGTCACCTGCTCCTGAACAAGCAATTGTTGTTTCTTCTCCATATCTGCCATTTGGACGTATGAAGGAGGTGGAACACACAGAGATGCTGCGAAAGGGTCCTGATTAACTGCCTGGACTGTTCCATCTGGAGCTGGCAGAGCTAAAACAGGTGTTGTACCATTCCCAGGCCCTGGTAACGCCACGCTACTAGCACTACCTCCACTCAGTTGAGCAGTGCCAACATGTTGCCTCACCATTCCCTGATCATACATTCCATTTAACAACAATGGATCAAACCCACCTCCCAAAGTTGCTTTCTGCTTCGATAAATTACTAGCAGTCTCAACCAATGCCAATTCCCAATCTGCCTTGCCAGCTTCAGCAGCTGGAGTCTGCCAGGCTGAGGTCACTTGGGGCTCTCCGTTAGATGGGAATGCTTCCCATGATCCGTTCCCATTATTGGCTGCTGGACCAGCAAACAAAGCCAAAGCCAACCTATTCCCTTGATCGTCAGCCGTGACAGCATCATCCCTCAAATTCACCAAATCCTCAGTAACCTGTGGTTTCTGAGGCCCGGGCTCCGTCTCCGGAGGTGGGGGAGGAGTAAAATCCTCCGGTGCAGGCAGGGCCTTAATTTCATTCATATCAGGCACAGGCTCCTCCTCTTGAGGCACAGGGGGTGCCTCCTCTTTCCTTTCCGGACTCTTAGGTCTCTTAGCTCTATCCCTCACAAACTCCTCTAAAGTCTCCAACAACTTGCCTGTAATCCTCTGCACTTCAGGGTACTCAGACGATCTCGCCACTCCAGTATCCTTACACCAATTATAAAACGCAATCAGCTCGTCAATCTGCTTCGCCGCACTAGCATAAGCATCAAAGGCCTTAACACAATCCGGATACTCCATATCAAAAAACTTATCGAGCAAAACAGCCAAAACCTCACATATATCCGCGTATAACTGAAAACTCTCTTTCACAACCGGATACAACGCAATCAATATCATCCTATTATTCTTGGCCAACCCCGTCGGCCTACATGACAAGAACCTATCCAGCAACCTCTGTAAATGTCCCATCTTCCCAAAAATCCTCTCCGGCTTCATTTCCCTCAACGGCGTTGCTGTCTTCTTCTCTTCCCTTCCTTCTCCGCCCCCCATCTCACTCATATCCCCATACGACCTCGTCCTCCTCGGCATCCCATACCCACTCCCCCCCCTATTATAATCCCCATTATACTGATCACTATACTCATAAGCTCTTGGCGGCGGCGACCTGAAATCACCTCTACCCAAATCTTCCCTGCCAAAACCACCCCTGCCTCCATAATATCTCTCAATTTCGCCACCATGAGCACTCCCCGCACCACGACTCCCACCGACACGGCCACCATCACCTCCTTTCCGTTCAAACAAGATCAATTCAAGTCTTTGATCCAAATACATCGCGAGAGTCCTAACAAAAGCCGAATGGTCCCAGGAACTCGAATGCGCTTCATCTCTAAAATCACTCATATTCAACAGCCGAGTACCTTTCCTAGTAGCATACAAAATCTCCTCTTGAAATAACGGATCTCC